AATAACTAAATAAAAAATATGCTTTATAGTAATATAATTTAAATTTCATATATTTTTGAATCAAAATAAACATTTTGTATATAAATAATCTTCATAATTAAAAGTTTATTTTTAACTATTTGATTATAATTTGTTTCTTTTTTAGAAATAACGTAATAAATAAATTAATAAAGATTAGGATTTATAATGCTGATATCCGCGGTATGCTAAATCATGACCATAGGAATCTATATTTCCATAATGATCTCCATGATAATCAAAATTCGGATGTGATTCATAATGAGGTTGAGCAACTCCGTTTTTAGTGTATACTGGGGGATAATAACTTGGATACGGTTTATAAAGCTTAAAGAAACCTATTAGACCAGGTATGACGATCGCCAAAAATCCAAGGAACTTCTTGAATGAAGCCAATCCCAAAATTAAAGGCAGTAATAACAGAAGTTTCAATTTGAAAAGCTTTACAACAAGTAAGAAGGGTATAAGAAATTTTCTGAGTCGATGACGAGCTAAAACAAATTCAAAATTTGTTTTAATAAGTATTTAATTAATTAAAATAACTTAAGTAACCTAAGCTTGCTTTTATGTTTTTAAATAGCTTTAGCAGTTAAACAACATTTAATATAAACATAGTAGTTAAGTTTTAAATTAAGTTACTTTATTATTAATTAATCGTTTTATATTTTAGTAATTTGAGTAATTTATCTGACAGAAAGAACTAACTTTCCAAATAAATAAAAATATTATCTTCATTAACTTTGCATAATAAACCAAGAAATTAATTGACTATGATACACAATATGGCATTCTATTATTGCACTACTTATTATATATAAATGTGGTTATAAATTAAGAATTAATAATTGCTACAATAAAATAAAAAAAATAATAATTTTCTTTCTGATAGACTTTCTGATAAATGATTTAGATTGTCCAAACTTAACAATGTATTTGCAAGCATCGTTTGCATATGTATTACACCTTTGAATTTTTCAAATATTTTCTCAAATACCTTTATCATTATAAATATTTAAGAAAATTTTTTTGTGTAATAATTTCAAATGAATACTTACAGAATAATGTATCCTTCTTATCCTCAAGTGTATCAATTTCATCAGCGATTTCGTTCAAAAATCTTGGTTTATATACATCATTGAGATCAGTCTCCTCTTCAGGAATAGTCAATTCGAAAGACATGGTTTTAACAAACTTTTCCAATTTTCTTTTCATAAAATTGATCATTTGATCCCATTCTGTTTCATCGGATCTAATCAACATATTTTACTTTTAATTTAGAAAAATCACAGTATTTATTTAATAATTCGGGCAATATATTCTTCCCGACATATTATCAATACATTTAGAAAAATTATTTACGTATTTCTTAGACGCACATAAGAATCATTATATGTAAAAAGAAATGTCTATATATACAATTATATGTATATACTTTTATACCTATAAAGATATAGATAACACATACCTAGGTTCGTTAGAATATTCATACGGCTGACGATGTACTTCTCTTACAACTTGATCAGACATTCGCTTAATTTGGACGTTATCATTTAAGGAATATTCAACATGATCGAAAAAATCCGAAAAATAATTTAACGCTCGTGACTTGAAACATTCAGCTAAATCGCCAGTTAAGCAACGTTCATTGACCTTTGCCAAATACGGATCAACATTTCGTCCAGTTCCAAAACCAATATAATTGAATAAATCTTCTACATGTTGAACAGGATTAAATCCTCTCTGTTGCGATGTAATTTCTTTAAGATTCTCTGAAATTATAAATTTATATATAATTTTGATTTTTATTATTTTAGATAAAGTGTAAGTATTATTACAACTTAAAAATAAAAAAAGCATTTAAAATAAATTAAAATAATTTAAATTTTCATCAATTAATATTGTCAAAAATGTAGAATTTTTTAAATTTAAATTTTAAATTATATAACACGAAAAAACTAGATAGTGAAATTATACATGTTGTGCAATGAATTAAACATATACAACTAAAAGTATTGTTAAAAATCATTAACAAACATTTATTTATAAATACCCGGTCTGTTTTGCGACTGTCGCGTGTACACTTGGCACAATTATATAAGACATCTGTGTCTTTTGATAAAAATAATTTCAAAAACTAAAATACCTTGCTTATCTTGCTTAGCTGCTTCATGTTCGGTAGCGCTATCCTGAAAAGTAACTTTCCCGGTAGACTGACAACATGCCAGCAAGGACAATACCAAAAGGACTCCTAGAATTACCAACAACCGCTGCAGTTGCATTCTACTCTTTTCTTTACACCACCTGCAATCACGTCTCATCATTAATATTTCTAATAAAATATTTCTATATTAGAAGAAATACACATCACACATATCGATACAATTAAGATTTCTTGCCGTTTTAAACGATATATATATATATAACAGTATAAATTAGCGCAAATTACTAATTTCATCATTATAAATTTTTTTGTTTGTAACAACACTTTTATTTTGCAATAACAAAATCAATGTTAAAATATTTTATATACACACATATATTTTAAATATATACGTGTAAAATAAACAATTATACGACTATTGAACACGGAATATGGTAACAACGAAATATAGTTACATGTTATTGATTTTTAAAGAAGACAGAAAAGTTAAAATACAATCAGATATCTCACCAAACTGTCAAATTATCGTGATTCGATATTCCTTACGCGACATCCTTGTCAAAAAGCGTTCTCGTGGTGATTCTCAAACAGCACTTACAAGTCTGCGAGATCGACTGTTGGCAGTCGACGCTCTGGTTCACCAAGTGCCGTTAGATGAGCGCACCAATCAGAAGTAAAGGACGAAAGCAAGCGGGTTTCAGATTCCAATTTCTGATCACGCGCGCATTCCACTTAAGTAATAGTAGTAATATATATCTCTAGAGTCATCTTTCTAACCGCAAATCTTTCAGTTAAGTTGCAAAATTGCAAAATAAATTGTTGCTCCATAACATAATTAGGAATTGTAACAATAACGGTGAATTTTTTCTTTCAGAAACTGAGCAAGATCTTATAAATAAACGATGAATAAACCAAAAATTGATAAAAGAATGAGATTAAAACGAATTTCAAGCTAGTTGATAAAAGAAACTGCTAGAAAAGGGACAAAAACTAAAAATGATTTGAATTACATTGGATTATATTTTGTAACTTACCTTATTAATTGAAAACTAAAGGAAGAATTATTAATGTAAAGTAAGTAATGATTTATATAAATTAAAATGCCAAACGTTTTAAAAATAATTAATACTGATTGACTTAACGAGTTTGACAAGACGTACTGAACACAGTTCTAGCCAAAAGTTATATGACGCCTTGACACACGCACTATCTTCGTATTTATATGAGTGTACCATCGAATACAGAGAGGGGATAGGATCCGCAAGTCGTTCCCAGAACGGCAAACAGGAGGATTTACAAAAATTGAAAGTGAAAGTAGTGTCCAGAATAAGAACCGGAACTAGGTAGACTCAAGAAACGGAGACGGAAGGTACGTCGACGTAGGAGGGAGGAAGTCAACGTACTTTCATCTCCGGTTTATACAACCCAACGTGCGTCATCGCCATATTAGGGAATACAATTTTTTTTATTACCGATATTTCTTTTTCTTGTGCCATAATATGGTTCCTGAATCATATCATTATCATTCATCGTCATTATCATTCATCGTCATAATGATTTCTGAGCTAATTTATATTACTTTCCTATATATGTGAGATAACATCATTTTTTTCTGTGACGCGCAGTTTAATATGGAATTTCGTTTGTTATAAGGTTTAATCGATTTATCATGTTGTTCCGTGTGGTTGTAATTCATGTTTTTAAAGTTAATTAAAAAAACTCTTTTTCTCTCGTTCTTTTTTTTTATCGCTTTATATTCTAAATAGGATTTTGATTATATAATTGATGTCGTATGCTGACGCATTGCTTTCGAGAAACTCATATGACTGACTTCATAATCTTTTATTGACGTACTCAGTCTGTACATCAATTTATAAATACAATTAATGGAATAATCGCAATTTTTGAATAAAATTAGAGTTAATCTAAATACACATACGCTCTGCGCAACATGTTTCTCGCTCGTATTACATAAATTAGCATCTTCATCCTCACGTTATATAAATAAATAAATATCCAGAGTTACTATCATCCATCGTAAGATTAAATCTTGTACACGATAGTATTCCATAAATAAATATAAATTAAATATACAATAATTTTAACTTAATTACGTCGTATTTTGCACAACTCATCAAATAAATATTTATTAACGTTATTAAATTATTTACCAAACATTTATTTGTATAAATATTCATTTGAGAAAATTGATTTGTTACAATTTTTTTAAGATTTGCAAGAGTTTTGAGCAAATTAAACTTGATGAGAATGTTTTTTAGCATAATTGTTGATCGTAAATATTTTAAGATCGTTTACAAAAAAAAATAAATTTCTCTAATATTTTCATTTAAAATCATAAGCAGATCTCATTTCTATTTCCATACAAAAATCGCTTTATTACGTGAGAAGTAGATTAAATCACATGTACTCGTCTCGTAATCTAAAGCGAAATATTATTATGTGTAAATTGATGTTCTTGATTGTATCAACACAGTTTCTATTTTCCAAGATACTTAGAAAATAATACTGGCTTGCCAACAATTATGCTGGCATAATCGAATGCTTTGTTCTATGTAAAACGTTCCCTGTTTCTATAATGTACTTTCATTGAATTTAGTAGTTTATATGCAAGAAAATGTTGTAAAACATATTTTAAAACTAAGTTTAAATAACATAGTAAACAATTAAAAAACATGCATTTATAACTTCAATATAATTTTAACAATCTTAAAAAATATATCCTAATCATTTACAAAATGCATTTTAATTATAAACTTAATTTCATGAAAAAAAAAATAAAAGTTCTAAAATTTGACAGGTTTACATATTTTAACGTTTACACGTTCGATATCGCGCTCTTGCTACAAACGATAATTTAGGAAACTGTGTATGGTATATCAAGAGCTTGTTTAGCTTTGGAAGTTGAAGATTCAAACAATGGCGAATTAAAACTATCTCAGGAGCCCCAAATGTAAATTAATTTCAGATTCTCTTATCTAAGACGCTATCCCAAAATTGAAACAATTTAAAAAATATTTAAATATTGTTTTCAGTCTTAAATTTTGACTAAAAGTTGATCAAGTTTTTGGGAAAAAAAAAATTGACAATTTGCATCTTGAAACCCCGAATGAGCGCATCGACCGTAATAATCCACCATTAAGAATACCTACAAACTTTACTTGCGCGCAAAATCTATGAATGAATGTTCAATCATTAGAGCAAACGCTAAATCTTTTTAGCGATTGTACTAGTGCATCCGATCAGAACTATAAATCACTGCTCCTAAAGCTCGTGTATTCGATGAAGCGATATGAGAGACATGTCTTCTTTTTTTTATCACGTTTGCAATTAATAATAGCAACAACAAAAGTAAATTATAACGTTCTCAGATCTTTCTGGCCTGAACGAGCTTATTAATATCTTGATACGTCGCGAGCATCGCTTGATTTTGCTTTAAGGTCTGATCTTCACGAGCGTTCGCACAATTCGCATAAATCTCTTCACACTTGACGCCATCCTGGCCATCCTTGGCGGATTTCATGTATCTGAAGAAACGTAGAACGTCGGGATTGTCGCTGCTGGGTTTCCTCAGCTCGTTTAACTCCCTAGACAGCTGAGCAGAGACCAGGTTCGAATATGGCGCGTAACGCGCGGGACTCCGATACATCGCGCACACTGCGTACTCCCTGCAGCCTTCCGTGTTGTGTCCGAGGCGGGAGAAAACGGCGTCCAGACGTGACAGCAGGGGTGAGTAGAACGGGTCGTAGTTCGTCAACAGCAAAGAGCTCGTCGGTATCTCATGAAAGACCTGCCGCCAATAATCAATATGTGTGTTTACAGCTACGTAATGGTCACCGTATCCGTTACGCGCGCAGCTAGGCGCCGATTCAGTTAAAACGAAGCAAACAAAGAAGTGGGTCGCAATGACGTGAATCTCAATGACCAATGTCAATAGTCGAATAGTATCAAAAGTGGAAAGCACGGTCATCACTGTTCATTGATGGTGAGAAAAAGTTGCAGTATAAAAAAAAAAGACAAAGGTATTCTTATGGCATACTTACCCATTTCATTACTGAGTCAAATATTAACAAACAATTCTTTCATGACTATGCGCGATTATCAATGCGACTATTAATGCGACATGTACAAATCAACATGCATTTCCTGATCCTATCAGTTGCAATCATTCGGTAAGAACTATTACATAATCAAGAATTCCATTAATTAAATATTAATAAGAACAGTCCTGACAATTAATATATAGTTTCGATTAAACTTCCTTATTAAATGTATGGATAGCATTATTCGAGTCCAAAAAAAAGAAAGTAGTGCAGTGACTTGAAAGCCATTTATTTACTGTGTGTGACAAGGAAATATATGAGATCTGCAAGTAATTGGCTGCGTTCAGCAAAGAAAACTGATCATTGATTTAATATGATTGATTCTTACCTTTAGTTCTTTGCTGGATAAGCGTACGAACGAATCAAATCAAAGAATCCCTGAGCGCTTACTAATCTGCAGTTTTCTCTGCCGAACGCAACCAATTAAAAATCGTGTATTACTTATTCAAAAAGCTCACCTTAAAATCTTGTGGTTTAGAAAGTCCATGTGCAGCCACGTGTCGCGTATAGTAACGATCCGAAAGCGCATTTGCATGAGATATTCTCGAATCGACGAATCCATAGCGGGACGCAATATCCGGAGTTTTCTGTGTCTGCATCATACTCTCGTCGTACATGGCGGATGCTGGTAACGTGCCTACCGGTTGTCGCGTCAGATAATCATCGTTATAAAGATCAGAATTATCTTTAAACTCGAAATTCTCTTCCGATGCCGCCACGGGCGCGGCATGCGAAGATTGCGCGAAAGAGGAAACACCTGGAATTTATGCGTAACATGTATTTACACTTTTAGTTCAGCTTTCTCGATTAATATTAATGCTACTATGTGAATTCTTGCAAGAATACAAAAGAACTATCTTCTATAGAGAAATTCTATGAAGAAACTGTTTTCTCAAGAAGATTTCATTTCTACATTTTATATATGCTATTTTTCACTTCTTTTTTTTTTATTTTCATTTAATAGTATTATTAAATTATTCATTTAATAAGACTTGATTTCTACATTTTTTTTATATATACATACATGCTATTTTTTAATTTCTAATATTAATTTTTTCAATTTTCTAAACTTTTAATGCTTACACAAAAATAAAATTTATTAAAACTCGATTGAAAAATAAAAATTTATATTATAAAGTTATAATCTCTAAAGCTACTTGAATTGTTAAAAAATTTTATTAATTTTTCAATATTAAATAATGTCATACGCAAATATTGATTAACATCGATTAGACACTTACCGTTTACTACACGTATGTATAGCATATTCTTTGATAAAGAAATAAAATATAATCATAGTTATACCAATTATTATAAATTGTTTTGAAATATTTACAATATGTTTGTAATAAGATTTACTAATCGCAAAATACGTACCTTTTCCAACGATATTACCAATACTGCCGATGATACTGGGTAGGAAGAGAGCAAGTAACACACTCTTAACTATTTGTACGCCGAAGAACAAGGGTAGCAATAGTTTCTTCAGACCAAATGCTAGAAAACCAAGCCCGAATCCTGTTAAAAAGGTACTCTTTCCCTGAAACACGGCTGAAAGCAAAAGTACCAGCTCGTTAAAGCCCTGCGGTTAGCCCTGAAAGCCATGCTGCAAGCAGCATCTTTTTTCATATTCTCCCTCTCCAACTCCACGTGCCACGCATTTTGCTGAAACACACTCTCCACGTGTGAATAAAAAAATATTCACCGTAATTATAATTAATTTGACTGCTCGCACAATGTTACACGCCTCGTTTTTCCTCATACCCGTTTTTATCGCTGGTTTAGTTCGCATTTTTGCCAATTAGCATGGACCCAACCTCGTTACTTGATTTAACTCCAAAAAGCCAATTCATGAAGTTAAAGCTTTCTCTCACACCCTAATTTTATTTATGCCAGATCGTGCTTACGAGCGTACTAGATTCGTCGCTTATCAGGTAGTTAAAAAAATTAAATAATTCATTTTTAAAAAGAGAATCATTTTTTAGGAAAAATGTTTGAAAAACCGCATTTCTATAAAAGCATTATAAAAATATCTTGAAAATCAAGTTGAAAGGTGGAAATAGAAAAGATTGCGTTATTTTCTAAGAAATAATTTCTTTTCTAGTAAACTACTCGATTACTTTCACTACGTACCAATTAGAGATTATGCAATTGCTTTATAGTAAGCGTCGTATAATACAGGTAGTAAAAATAGATACTACGTCGCTCAATATAAACGATCGTAATTTTCAGAAAATCCACCTTTCGCGTCGACAAAAGTAACGGCACTAGTACACACGCGACAAAAATCTGTAGCAAGCGGTCTAGAAACTCACAACCGAAGAACGTCCTGGCTTTCCTGGCGAGACTGAGATCCTTATTCAGCTGTATCTTCATCACGTGTGTCCTGGCATAACGATGAACCTTATCCAAAAGATTTAAATCCGTATCATTTTTCTTTCGATCGTTGCACGTAACGTTGACTTCAGGATTTCTTATAATCTGCACAGATTCTGTTACATTGTACGTATCAACCCTCGAGAGTTGATCTAAAAAGTTCGAAAAATCCTTCCCTATACAAGAAACCGTGAGCTTTCCTTTGCATTCTGTTGAATTTGACAGAGATTGACTGGTCAATGAATTCATTTCAATTGGATTAGCTGTAACATTAGCTATTCTCGTCGGCTCAATCTGATAATTCGATTTGTCGTCTTCGATATCGAATTTCGTTGGTTTTCCATGCATATTGTGCGGATGATCACGCAAGAGTTTGTCAATTTTGTTTTTAGATTCTTGAGAAAGCGGCACCTCGTTCTCCTCGACGATATCATCATCGTTGAGCGCGGTCTCGTTCAAGGGCGCAACCTCCGCGTAGACCTTGACCCCCACGACAGAATGAAAGTGGCACGCAATAGCCAGGAACACAATCGAGAATATTATGGCTATTCTCCCTTTTGCCATTGTCCAATTCATGAAAAAGGCACCAGGCGCTTGTCTATTGGCTAGCTACAGTTATTACATGAGGAGAACTGCATCTCGACCTGCGGCTCCGTTTTCTAAAATAAGATAAATAAGTAAAAACACATCAAGAATAAGAAACTTTAAGATCGAATGTATAAAATAACAATTGTTACGGTACAAGTGCAAAAATAAAAAACTAAATATGTAATTGAGAAATCGATAAAGAAAAAACAGATAAGTACAAGACTTGAAAGTCTGAAAAATAAACTTCCTTAGACATAAATACATAAAATAATTTTATATTGCTTTTCTTTTAGAAAACCTATTGAATGAATTAAATGTTAAATTATTGATTTGGAAATAATTAATATTTGTCTATCTATTAATATCTAATTCTATAGATTTATATTTTTACGTTATATTTTGAAAACTTTATTGATTTCACAATTATTAAATTAGAAAAAAAAACATAATAGTACTAATAAAAAAATATTGTTATTCAAATGATTAAGTAAGCTAATAATAACATAGTACTCTGTAAATTTGATAAAATTCGATTATGTTAGGTCAATCTTGCACGTATGTATCACCAAAAACAATCAGCTGATTCTTTTATTTATGCGGGTAAACTGTACGCAAAGATTAAACATTCTATTAAACATTTGTGATTGATTAATTAAACCAATTCTGTTATTCAACTACAATTTGTCGATATCTGCATAAACTATTCGTTATTCTCAAAAACTTTTATTTTAATTATGTTTTTTAAAGTCAATCAACAACTAATTAATGAAAATTTATTTCTTATTAATCTTAAATATTGCACCATTATGTTAATATTAATTATAATACTCAATTTTTCTTGATGTATATTTTCAGATTAAACAAATTTTCAGAATAACAAGTGATATATATTTTTAGAATACTTTTTAATTAAATTGTTCATATATAAAATTAAATAAAGAAAAATTTAATTCGAGATAAAACAAATCTTTATCTCATCATAATCTTTTGCTTTATTAAGAAACTATGTGTGTATTTACATATATACACATAATACGATAAAATATAAAAATGAAAAATCTCAAAAAATATCTACATGTGTATACATTAATCTAAGTCATAATTTAGTCGTTAAAGATCCAACTATGCGCACGTGTGCAGTTAGAATTCATAACTGGTATGTAAGTGTACGGTTATACGAGTGTTCTTTCACCAAATGACTTTGATACAATCTCATTAACAATGCTCTGTCTATACATTTTTCCGCATGTACATGTTAAACATAATTTCATTCACCAATCAAATACACATAACTATTTATAGAAAGTTATTAGTCAGTATTTCTTGTTGTAAATGATTTTATACTCACTTTCACAATATATCTCTGACATCGACAACTTGCCCGCACTTAGACTAAGTGATCGGTGTCAAATTCAGTAACCGGACTTCTTTTAATATTGAAAAACGACCGGTCGACTATGCGCGCCTGAATAATCAAACGGCCAGAAGAGTCGGAATCGTGTACGACGTCCGATACTATACTGGCAGCCGGTCTCCGTAGGATCGGCTCGACTGACCCAATCTGGGTTACCCGGCCATCCGTCTGTCCGTCCTTCTATCCATTCCCCTTTCCGCCTTCCTTGCTCACCACGTTCGTTCATTCGTCCGTTCGTTCCCGCCATTCGGTTTAGGAGCTACCCTTCTTCCAAGGAAGAATTGCAAATATAACTATTAGTCGAGGGGGAAATTTTCTCATTTAATCAATTGAATTCTCGTCGCAGGTCTAAAATTATTGAAAACATATTCCACACGACGATTTTACTTGGCAGTATTTCGGCGAATGTCCAGATCGGTCAGTTCAATGAGCCTGACGAGATGCCGCCCAATGGTACAGGAGATGATTCTCCGAGACAATTCTCTCGCTAATAAATAGATCTTAATTTAATCCAGGAGAAGGGGAAAAGGAAGAAAAAGAGCAAACAGGAGGGCTAAATTATATATGAGGGGATGATCGAAATAAATCTAAGCTGATCTAAGAACTCCCAGTTGATTTAGTCTATATATTTTTCTTTGAGATTACCTCTGCTCCACAATAGCTTTTATATTATTTAAGAGATCCTTTTTTAGAAAGGAAATAAGAAAAATAGAGTAAAGTACAATACAAGAAAAAATCAAAACTTTTTCTTAACTAATTGAAAATTATTAATAAATCTATTCTTTTCCTCTAAATGAAATCTTTTAGAACGAGGATGTGATTCTAAACACTTCTACAACAATTTCTTGTAGGAAATATATAATTTTTTATATAGCAACAAGAAGACAGCTTGATTAATTAAGACTACTCTTCCATATCCGTTTAATTGTCAAGAGTAAAAAGTAGCGATTTTTTTAAATCTCTTTTGTGTGATCTACTTTTCATATGGAAACTATCTTCGGCTATGACGTCAGCAAAGATCACTCGTTCAAGTCCAATCAAATTAGTCACGAGTTCAATCGCGGTTGCACACCTTTACAAACAATTTCTCTTGTGTTTTCTCAGAAATCTACCGATCCCAAATAATGTTTGTGACCTCCGAAAAACTAGTTTTGGGTTTCGTCTACATCAACATGTTAGTTAATCTTTTATTCATTTTGGTAGATATGACAAATGATTCAGTTATTGTAAAATGATTATTATTTACATTTGACGGTAATCACGGTATACATGTACCGTGTTTCAAAGTACTATTTACTAATGGACGTTGACAGAAGGAACCCGTTATAACATAACGTCAAAAGAATCTTTACGAGCATATTATAGAATGCTGTCAATATTGTCAAACAAAAACAAATTTTTTAGAACTTTATAGCCGACAACCTTTACATCGTAAATTACTAAGTGCTTGTAGAAAAGGAGTAACAAAACATAACATTTTAATTTTCTTCATAAAAATTAGTACTGTGCCAGTAATAGTTCTACAAAATTCAAATGCAGCTTTTATGTGAATATTTTAAATTGCAAGGAAGTAATTAATTTAAAAACGAGCATAGTTTTTTTGTCTTTACGAACTCAGAATATATTTTCATAACAATTTATAACTTTTTATTGGTATTTTGTAGTATTTACTATTTAGACTAAAATTTTTTATCAAATTTCCTTATGCAAAAATGTATTCTCTTTACAAAAAGAAGGTCACACAGGCCAGTGTGTTACTTCTTTTGGCTTCAGTTTCACGTTAAAGTCGGTGACACCTATAGAATCGTTCGCTTGTTCCTTAAAAACGTATTGTACATACATTCTCCGTGTTTTTATTTTTATTATAATTTTCATAAAGAGGAGAGAGAGAGAGAGAGAGAGAGAGAGAGAGAGAGAAATTATTTCCAAGTATTGGTATTCATATCTAACAATAAACAAAAAGGAGCATATATCCGACTCATTATGCATTGAAATTAATTATTAATCAAGAATTTATAAATAAAATAATTTATCTTTAAACACATGAAAATAATAAAGAAAAATCACATTCTTATAAATATTTTTATATTAACATGTGAAGTATGTATGAATAAATGTAATGCGATGTTACAATCTTTTATCATTGGTCTGTTAATAGAACAAGGAAAAAGATTCTTAAGAATATCACAATGTACAATTCAATTAAGGAAAGGAAAGTAGAAAACTATTTAATTATTCTACAATTTTATTTTTCTTATAACTATAATCATGCGCATACGCACACACACATACGTGTACATATACGCACACATCCAAATGAAAAATAACATAATATTAAACATACAACTCGGTTTCACTAAACGGTGAAAAATTTCAAAGAACAGATAATTAAAAGGCGAAACAAATAATTATCAACATTTACAAAAATTTGTTTCCGTTTACTCTTATTTTATTGAAATTTATTCATACACATAGTGTACATTATAATCACAAGCGATACTAAAACCTGATATATAATATACAGTATTTCTTATGTGATAAAATTGAAATTCTATCGCGAAATAATATCTTTTTTCTAGAGGTCAATCGTCCATCATAATATAAATTTGATTGACTTCCGCAAAAACAATGTTCATTTAAGAAAAAGGAAGGATTGTTCTATTTAAGCTAGATCTACAATTGTTCACGAGGCTTTGCTCTCTGTGAACTTCATCTGTGGCATCTCGAGAAGTACCTCCGGTATTTAACGCACACCACTCAGAATTGTCTTCGCCATACGTGCGCATGAATCAAATACATACGAATCATACAATATGCAGGAAATACGTTCGACGTAGATACGCAAGTCGAACGCCGTGACATGAACGATGGTCCGTTACATTAATGCGACTTTTTCGTTCGTATATAACGTAAGAACGTAACGGTCGAGTTGCCGCGGACGAGTGCACGTTGCGTATCGATCGTACCTATCCTGTAGCGATGCGCAATGTGTCGCTTCCGATTCGCGTTTCCTATTGTGTCGTGGAGCCCAAGCATTCTTGTCACTTTATCGCTTGCCATCAAAGTCAAGCGTGTCTTTTTATTATTCTACGTATAACACGTTTCTTATGACATACAATATTTATTCTTGCAATAAAAAATATTAAAAATTGTAATGGTATGAAAAATTCATTCTTTATGAAAAACATCGGTTTACGTCTAGACTAGGGGCTTCAAAGACTTGCGTTGGAAAGTCCGATGAAAACTTCACCGTCGGGAAACTAAGATTATTCCTATCGATGAACACGTGATGGGTCGAGAAAAGCGTATTGAAGAAGGGAAAGGGTGAGAGCAAAATTCATCAATTGTAACCATCATCTGGAGCCTAAAATATGTATCGACGACAAGTACGATGACTGGGCTCTTGCCGTGTACTGTCCGCGAGTCAATAACGGTCTTCGATCGACTCGTGCATGGGTCACATGTTTGTATATATGTGTATATGGACACACACGGTCAAGGTAGACGCACGGACGCATAACAGCGACACATGAGTTGGCTCGTGAACGCGTTTGAGCTACAAACTGGGAGCTTGTCCAAATCTGTCAGTAGGTCAGTAGAGGGGCCATCGTACTCGGTCGAGTGACCTTGACCACAAATGAACTTCCATGGCAGGATCTTTTACGATTTTCACTTTGAAATTTGAGGAAAGACGGTCTATGAGAAACAAGCACGCCGAATACTTTTGGTAAAAAAAATTAATAGATACTTTGCGCTATATTGTAATCGTATATTGTTGTCATTAAAAAACAATTAGAAAACAAGCGAAGATAATTGAACCTGGATTACCTGGATGAGCTCCACACTCGACTATACTGCTGACTATACTGTAATTTAATTACTTTACCATAAATATTTATAATTTAATAGTGTCCATAAAAAATAGTGCAAGTGTGCATTTTTTGGCAGTTACATTCAGTTGTGTAAATAATCTTCTAGAAAGTTAGTTTTGCAGTTGCAATAGCTTTCATTAATAACATCAAGTTATAATAAATCAAAGCTAATCAGCAACGAATATATCACCAATATCATCTTGATATAAAATTAACAATAAATAATATAAGACAAGAGATAAAAGATAGAAAGTTGTAGAAATTAATGTTCTAAAAAATTAACAGGTATTTTACGCTCTTTCGCGTTCCCGTTAATGGGAGTTTTAAGAAAAAGCCGGATGTATCCTTAACATCTTATCCTTTCTCAAAACCTGCGAGCTGCAAAGGTTAAAATATATCAATACATTCCTCAAATAACGGTAAACTATGTGAAAGTTATTTCACGAGTGTTCTTTGCTAGAATAAGCGACGAACGAGCGTAGCCGAGATAAGCGTAGCGTTTGGCGACGTTCATTCAGTGCATATCCATTCACCGTGATTGCCACGAGTAATTTTACAGGAAATTACTAAGATCACATACACGGATCACAATTAGATTAATCGTAATTGCACTACTTGTTAAAGTGTTATTTCGCGTGCTTCGATGTAATTGACTCGCCTTCGAAAGATTATCAGAAAATTACAAATACGATATTCTCATTGATGATCACGAATACTCTATATTTTCACCCGTAAGGATTACGAAGTATTTGATAACTCGGATATCCCAACTGATAATCGTTTCTATGCCAATTACTGTCATCCGCTCCGTATCCTGCAAAGGAAATGTCAAAATGCATATTACAAGTTTATGATGTTTTTAACAAATAGATAAATATCTTTACTCAGATGTACAAGTTTTGTATGAGAAAAGATTCAGTATTATTGATGTCAAAGATTTGTGATACGCGACATGACATTAAAGATTTAAAGGAATTATTAAATATAAATATGTCAAATATAAAACACTATCATATAACGTACACTGACAGCTGTTTCAAATGTAATACTTGTCGCTGTTGGTCAACATCAAATATGTTTATCCCAACATAAATACGTCATATGTATTGGTCTATAAAGATGTATCAGCTGTTACAGCTGAGCGACGCTATCTTAACTTAGCCTACATAACATATAATCGTGCAAACTATCACTAGGATGTGCCAGTTATTTTTATTTGATAAGAAAATTTTTTCACATACATTAACATATATATTTAACTCAACAACATAAAATAAACGAAAAATTTTTTTTATAATACGAATTTCTAATACTATTTTTAAGCATGAATATAACGAATAAAAGAATCACAATTTTTAAGTATTCATTATTCTTCGCATCGTTCGTTTTATTTAAAATTTTACTAAATATTAATAAATATATGTCTATATACCTATAATTTGGCATATAACTTGCTTAGAAAGCATAGTACTTTTGTCAAAGACAAAAAATATTTTTAAAATACTCTCACCTGTTGGATAATCTGCTGTTGCATCCGCTGCAGTGGACCACAGATGAAAAGGATGTGCATGATGCGCATGAGGGTGTTGCACTTTGCAAATCTTTAAATGGGCGAATACTGATGGTAAAATTAATGATCCAAGTACGAGAAGTTTTTTAATAAAATGAACTCCTAGGAAAATTGGTAACAGCAATAGTTTCAGTTTTATTAAATTTAATAATATAAGAATGGGAAAGATAATATTTTTCTTCTTCTTGAAAATTCGCCAATCGCCTGTAAAACAAATAATTTATAAATTTTCTTTTTCTCGAAAATCGTCAAATATTATTACAGACTATGCAATTGTTGACATCGTTGCCGTTACAGGAAATATAAGGTAGTAAACTCTGCTATTTCGCTGTTCATCGCTTTTTTCAAATATATAGCACATTGTAGCAGATTGCATAGTTTATACAATGATTACTTGTTACGTGTAACGTTATCCGAAATAAAGTACAATAGAAACTATAATTACGCTCAGACACATCAAAACATTCCGTTATATAGAACAGTAAGTACATCTTTTCTTTGTTATTGCCAAGAGATCGATATATCATTATAAGAATTTTCAGGATTTTTTCAGAATTTCAAGAAAAAATAAAGCACTCTACAATATTCATCATCAGTTTATTATATTTAACATAGATAAAAATATTCGACCAAATAACAAGAAAAAGAAATTGTAAAAAACAATATAAGAGAAAAAATTGTTAAATATTTTATTATTCAGCAGATCTAATAAGATTTTACCTTCCGGTTCTTTGCTATCCTTTAGCCGCTCAAGTTCATCCTCATCCATAAACATCAAATTCGAAGAGAAGTCTCTGGCATCTCTGGCAACTGCCGAGTTGTCTATCGTATATACAATGGCACGTTTTGTCAATAAATCCTCTACACTATCTCTAACAAAGTTCAGAGCTTCTGTTATACCACTTTTAAATGCTTGAGAACGTGGCAAATAGGGTAAAAAGGATTGCTTGTAAATCGATGGTATCCTTATTATTCGAAATGGTCCATAACTAAATTCCTAAATTATAATAATTTGCTTTAATTAACTAATTTATATTGATATGTATAATTATTTTTTTAATTAAAAATATACATTTTTATATACATTATATGCATTTTTATAATTGTTATCGTATGATAATATATAATCAATTTTAGAGAGTTATTTATGTCTATAATTAATTTTTTTAATTTTGTTATAATTCTATAAAATCAAAATTATAAAAAAAAATAAATATATATTAATTTGTTTTTAATTCTCTTATAATAAATTATTCAAATATTTTTATAATTTTTTATAATTTTTATAATTTTGATTATTAACTGTAACAAGATACAGAATTAATTAAGATTAGAATCAAATTTTAATTGCTTCTTATTACAGTTAACGTTATACAATGTGGATTATTAATTTCTAATTTTTTGGATATAATCAAATTTTATGTAATCACTGCAAATACCAAACACGTACCTTTTCTCTCACTATTGTGTTTAACCATTTCGCGACTTTATATTTGCTACAAGTTGTGTAATCTCTCTTTAAATCGCATTCCATTTCACATTTTTGAACAAAAAGATCCGTTGTATTATCAAAAGCCAATGAATGAGTCCGCCGTGAACAAACAATCAACAAAATAAACATCCAGCACGATACTTCAATCACTCTTGGATATCCGATTTTGCGAGACCACTCAATAACTCCGAAATATCCGCACTTCATAATTTAGGTCAATGACTTTAACTTTACACTATTGATTTGGATTTTGTTAGTTTTGATCAATTGATTTATATTTCATTGCAGAGAATTGTGACGATCACCTGTCTCGCTTCGAATTTCTGTACAGTCATTGTTATTGTTACTCATGATGGTTGCTCATCAATTATACGAATCATCGAGATGCATCGCATCGAAAGTGAATGCCGTAATTAATCAAAAAAAATCATAAGTGACGTTATGTGATACGAAAGATTATCGCATAATACCGCGCACTATTTTCACAGAATAATGCAGGATGATGCAGAAAAGCAAGATTAGGTGCACACGCTCACTGACAGTGGTTAGAAGGTGTTCTGACCATTTATACGGCGTGCATTTAGGTCGGTGGGGGTAACGGTCCATGGCTTAGATAATGCTATACAGAGATTGCTCCTGCATTCTACACGGTACAACTCTTGAAAGACACTCGAGGACTCGCTGATGGTCGCTGGCTGGTCGTGGAAATTCCATGTAATGACAATGAGACAAACTCATCGCACCATAAAATTTGTGATACATTAAACCGGATATTTTAAGACTGAGAAAAGAGTATTAAAAAGATTATCCAACAATATTGCAAAGATACTTTGCGATAGATTTATTAATATTCTTCGCAAATTATATTTTTTTGCTTTTTTATATTTTCAAACAAAAATAGAAAAAACATGTAATAAGCATTTGTATATATAAGAAACAATTAAGCTGGCTTAAAATATCATAATTTAATTACTCGATCGATCTATTAGAACTGAAAATCTTCGAAAGAATACGTCCTTATTTTTGACAAGTATATAATTTTAACGGTATATCGCAGCCGCACGACTGTCGGCTTAATAGCAACCACACAATCAGGAAGATATTTCACGAAAACTCATAGCTGCAGGAACAGTGGTAAACCATACCATATTAAACATTGCATATTACATTTTTGTTTTGTATCACACGATTAGCAAGCGAGAAATTCTATAATATATCTCGAATTTATAGAAAGGAAGCAAACGACTGCACGTGTCACCGTGATAACAATTACTATTTTTCCGTTAGCCATTTAAAAAATTTAACGAAGGGTTTTCTCCGCAACATATTCTCCTCCACATAATTGCGACATTCCTCGTGGCTAGTAGAAGCACTACATTTTCTGGTGCACCCACCCGCAACGGTCGCTCAGTTTTTTTAACATAGATAATAACAGGTAACGTTATAATTCATAAATTATCTCTTGGTATAGCGGAAATTTAGTAAAATTGGACATACTAATTTGTTTTTTGAGAAAATACTAATCTACTAGCAAAATCTGAAATTATATCCCATACAATCCGTATAATTTTAATGTTGAATCTCATTTTTTCTTACCAAATAAATATCAAGATTTCAATAAATTTTTGTTCTAAACTTAATTAAAAATTTAGAATTTCTCATAAATTCAAATGCAATTTAATTTGAGATAATAAAATATTATATTAAAATTAATTTTAATTTAAAATTTTAATTTTACGACAAAATTTACTATCGAATGTTAAGAAATATGAAGAACAATGTATTTTTGTTATAAAAATAATTGTAAATTATTAAAAAATAAGAAAAAGTATAAGAAAATATATGTATATAATGTTATAAATTGACTATTATATAACAGCCAGCAAAATGCGATAAAAGTTATCAACAAGAAGCAAATGATAGAAGGCAATTGATTGACCTATTAACGCCACTGCAGTCTTCAAGTAGAATCAGGATATTATGCACACACGTTAGCGGTACAGCCTCTTTTCCGTAACCGGTTTGCACAACAGTCGTCTGCTTTACTTTGGCCTTGCATCGAACTGTTTAAAAATCCAGTGCAATTTTGTAAATTGTTTTTCTTCTTTAATTAAAATCTAATTTGCTCAGTATATTTGATTTATTTTAAAACACGACTTAAAGCAAACATAATTCAAGTAACATACCGTTAACATGAAGTAAACAAATAAGAGTAAATAATAAAAAAATCTGTCGCTGTCTCTTTAAAAATTTAAATCTCTATGTTATGCTTTAATTTCATAATTTTTATATACGACATGTTTTACTTGAAATCATAGGTATGTTTTAATATTATATTTTTATATCTATTTTATATTACTCAATACATTCGCCATCGACAATTTTTTACTGATTCAATCAGGTTTTAATACTTAATCACAATCATTTACGTTATAAATCCTGTAATCCTGCAACTTAGATAGTTATCGCATGCAAGAGCTTACTTCATAGAAAGTTAAAAACTGGAAAATCTTGTACGCATCAAACGTAAAACCCGTAATTATTAACTCTGATTTTTATTCGTAATAATGCATTTACTAGACGCCTCTATGCAATCGCTGATAATTCAATGTGAACGCAGAAATTCTTAAAACCGGAAGCGTTCATCAAACTTATTTTTCGGGTCACAAAAGAAACACGATTTGTTAACCCACTATGCTCGGGCAATAAATTTTTGCTGCATGTGTGCAAAGCTAGTGGGCATCAACTTACTCCACTGGCCTGGAAACTTGATCTATCGCGTCTGCATGGAGGAATATCACCGAAAGATCGTTTTTCGTGCGTGACACGCACCGACAGGGTTGTAATGGCCAAGAGTGGATAACAAACATGTCATTCTCCGAGTATGTCGAGCACGTACGTATATATGTGCGCACCTGCTTTCACTCGCGGTTATAGAGCAATGCACAACGAAGATACCTGTCGTTCATCGATGTTTGCCCCGAGACTTGCGAGGCTTACGAGGTAAGAAGACGTTAGGCCACGGGCGAGCCTAGTGGGCGATACGCATGCTTGTTGGTTCGCAATATAACCTGTTTACTCTTTTGCCCAGTTGACCCAGTACGTCGACAGGATATGAAGTGGTAATATCGCAGCAACCGATTACCGATCTCGATATTCCAGCTTGTTACACATTCTCGTTTGAAAAAGAGATTCTAGAAAGAGGTGCAAGAAACTGTCTGCGAGAAGATCAGTATCCTTTTTAACATCATTAATCACAGATCGAACTTTGTTAATTGAAGTCTAGTGATTGAAAATTTATAAGCGTACACTATATGGAATGCGAGTTTGTCGTCGTTTATTTTAGAAAAGGTATGAGAAGTTAGAAAAATATTTTATAAAGAAGAAGACATGTTTTTTATCCAAGTATAATCCTTTAGGAAATAATTACTTTAGTAAAGATTAATGACAACGTTATATATCTTTGCGAATGCAAATAGAAATTTGCAATTCGAAATATACTGTTAACACAATTTTATACGATATATGTATACCCATAATTTATGTCTTTTTAAAAATAAGTTATATATTCAATTTCCTCAAATACGTCTCTGTTTGCAAACAGAGATTCTGCGGTTATATAAGTAAATTATTTATTTTAGCGTTGTCAATAAATCACTTCGACGTCTTATAATATAATCAAGATCTAATATCAAAAATGAATAAAAAAGGTAAACACAAGCTTACGAGACTTCACAGACATTAACCTTGATGCTGGTGCACATTTACAATAATGTTACAAGCAATTTATTTTATTCTATGTTAAAAGCCGGAACCAATCGTTAATATCCACCCTGAACGCGCGAGATTTATCTCAGTGGCTTAGTTAGCTACGGTTACTTTGTGACATTTACGGCCTATTTCATAAAGATTATTATATGCACAGTTATATAAACAATGGCAGACAAGTGTCACATAAATAATATTGCTAAGTATCCATACATTTTTAATTGAATAAAATGTATTGTTTTAATATCTAAGAAACATTTTAAACAATGTGAAATAATTGTTAAAAACATTAATAAAAAATTAATTTATATAGAAATAAAATATTTATAAATATAAAATCGCTTTTACATATGTTCGCGGAAAAAATATTTTTATAAATTAAATTTCATAACAAAAAATCCCTTCGTATTTTAAATCGGACGGAATAGTTATATTGCAAATATAACTGATGATATCTATTCATACTGTGTGTCACGTATCATTTTAATGAATATTATTAATTTATGTTCAACTCATTAATTCACGTGAAGTAAACACGTATTTGAAGACATATACAGTGGCCAGTTCGTGACTAGAGAAATGCTTCAAATTAACCCGGAAGAGCATCGATTAAGGCCTTTGACTGTCATCAACATTTGTAAACCACAAATTGTCATGCACAATAATCGCACATTATAAACAGAAGATGCACATTTCCTCCGAGTTCTCGAATTCTCACGATCGAATCAGAAAATCAAGGTACATATTTTTCACTTCCATGTTTAATCTATTTTTAATAAAAATCTACTTTTATGACTATTTATATTCGCACACCATATAATAACATCACATTATTAATTGGAACTAAATATATTTATTTTCTAATGTGTTATATATTTCCAAAATTTATTTTCTAATGTGTTACGATATATTTCCAAAATTTAATCACCATGAATAATCTCTCTTTTTTAACACTATTCCCTTCTCTTCTTATCCTATGAATTTAATAAAATTAATTATTAATGTTTGAAATTATTTGCTCTGAAATATATATTTAATTATACGAACGAGAAGTCGACGTCTATTATATCCATGCCATCTTCCATCAAATTCTTACAAATATGGAGATAAAATCATCTATACTTTCGATTCATATTTATGCAATCAATCACCATTCCACAACTATTATCATCGATTAAATCATTTTCAAAGATAAAATCAAAATATTTGATCGCTCGACAATCAGCTTTTGATTTCTTTCAAACAACAATCTTATCTACAATAAATAACACTAAAGAATATAATATACGGATTAAAGTGTCAAATGATACTAATCGTAAGTTTGTGATTTCTTATGTAGGGAAAATAGCGTAAATATAAATTTGGTAATATATATATATATGTATACATATATCTGGTCAAACTGTGTGTGTGTGTGTGTGTGTGTGGATCCGCTTATT